CAACTTAAGATCCTCCTGCTTAGGACATCAGAGTGTACATATTACAGGCTTGTACCACCTTGCTGGGCTAAATCCATGGAACTCTATGAGGTGGAAGTAATATTTCCATGTTTTGTGCATCCATCTTGAAAATGCATTCACACATAAAACCCTAATGAGAGGATTTTATATTGATAGTAATCTAGTTTTTACCTGTGATATTTACATGTTAGCTCTGACACTCAGCCACATCTCTAGTACCCATACCTTTTTTTTTTTTTTCAACTAAAATGCAATGCATATGTGGCAAAGTACTGAGCAGGTAAGTTTTTAAAAATTTCATTGAAAAATCACATGTGTGATTCTAACAATGCCCTTAAAAGAGAAAAAAGAAAAAAAAAAAGAGCAAGCAGATTCCTTATATAAAAATACATTCTGGTGTAAGCCACATCTACTTCACAAGCTATGATTCTTTTTTTCAACCACCCCTCAAAAAATCTTAGGCAACCTACACAGATCACAGCCCACCTCAACAAAGCGTAATCTATTAAGACTTTATTCTTAATTCGGGGGAATGCACAGTACTGCCAATCTTCACATGTGCAATCACTCACTGGTCCATCAAGTGGACAACACAGAGAGGTGTCCCTACCAGGCACTACCATGTTCCTCTCTATACTGACTGAAGGCTAGTGGATGCACAGTAAGTTTTCCTGTGGCTACCCCCTCGGAAAAGCAAAAGCCCCACTAGGGGTCTGCGGAAGCTCTGGCTGGTCTCGGCCTGGAGGCTCTGACATTCAGGAAGCTTCTGGGTGACGTGCAGATCCCTGGGCTCTTCAGCTCCCGCACTGACCCCAGAGTCTGTCTGCAAACGCCCAGCCCGTCACTGACCCCCCAGGTCTGTGTGCAAACATCCAGCTCCCGCATGGATCCTAGGTCTGCCCCGCCCGCGCTGGCTCCGGCTCTGGCCCCAGTTCTGCCCTGCACGCGCCCAGCTACCGCACTGATCTCAGTCAGGTCTGCCCCGCACGCGCTCGGTTCCCTTCCTACCCCGACCCTCCCCGCGCGGCCGCCCCGCACTCTCCCGACAAGGGCACCGGCGGCCGGGACGCTCGGTACCTGCGCGGCGTGTTCAGAAGCCGCTGCTGCTCGTCGCCCTCGTCCTCGTCCTCGTCCGTCTCGGAGTCGGGGTGGCAGTAGCAGAATGCGCCGCTGCTGCGCTTGCGCTTGCGGCCGCCCGGACAGTAACAGAAGCCGTGGGCCGCATCCTCGCCCGCATCGGACCTGCGGGCCGCGCCCCCAGAACCGGGCGTAGGTTCGGGCTCA